AGAGAGAGAGAGAGAGAGAGAGAGAGAGAGAGAGAGAGAGAGAGAGAGAGAGAGAGAGAGAGATTGTTCTCGTTTGGTTTCAGATTGGGCGTAAGAGACGGGAATCTTGCACACTGCATATTCCCATGGCACGTCATGCTCTTTCTGCATGTTCACTTCCACGCCTTTTTTTTCATGTGCATCCAGGGAGTTGATGGCTCAAGAGCGGAGCGAGTGATGGAATTGGCCCACATTGCTGCCAACAAGAACACGGTCCCCGGCGATGTGAGCGCTATGGTACCTGGAGGTATCCGAATGGGTAAGCCTGTCATTTTCTACAGCCTTCATTGGAGAAAACAAGTGACTTGAAAAGGAAAGCAAGAGAAACCAGATGGGAGGAGAGGTCGAAGCTGTGATCCATTATTGATTTTTTTTTTCTTCTTTTTTTTTTGCCTTTTTTTGGAAGAAAACCAGGCCCGGACCCACTAGAGCAGGTGCTACCAGCACCCTCCTCTATTGCGGCACCTGCTGGAAACCGGGTCCAGCGTCCCTTTTACGACATGTTTCGTGCAGACGCTGGGAGCATTACCCAGCTTCGCTGTCTCTTTTTTTTTTTTTTTTTTTTTAAGCAAGGCTCCGATCTATTCGTGGGGAGCAGCACATGCTGGGAACCGGGCCCAGCCATTGTTCCATACCATATTCAATATTATTCATACAGTATCGGGGCCATTACCCGGCTTCGGGTAATCCGCAGGAAAACACACAGTCAATGACCATTTGTCCTAGGGCTCTCACCCACTCTAGCTGTCTATACCGCCCTTTTTGAAGTTTTTCGTAATTTATGTGTGTCATCCTTGTGCTCAGCCCGTGCTAATCTTTTCCTTATCTTTCCATTTGTGACGGATAGTCTGAGAGGACGATCCATGATCGCATCTTACCGGAAGAGGAAAGCTTGGATGTGAGCATGGCCAGGCCTTTGGCCAGATTTCTAGGGTCCCAAGTTCTCCACCCCCCCTGCACCCAGACCGTCCGCAATGATCTCACAGTCAGAATCTGACCGTCCGCAATGATCTCACAGTCAGAATCTGACCGTCCGCAATGATCTCACAGTCAGAATCTGACCGTCCGCAATGATCTCACAGTCAGAGTCCGACCGTCCACAATGACCGTCCGCAATGATCTCACAGTCAGAATCTGGAAGAGATTTCGAAAAGGTCCTTCGGGAACGTCCGTTAAAATTGGAACGATGCAGAGATAGACGATTAGCATGGCCACTGCGCAAGAATGGCACGCATATATCGAGAAAAGGTCAATTTAAAAAAAAAAAATTAAATGAAGCGGGGACGGGGG